GCTTGATAGTATAATTATTAACTAATTTAGTAAGTAGATAAGTATTATGAATGTGACTATATTGATAATGGTTACTGACAAAAATTAGAATAGAAGGTATTGAATAATTTATTTACTAAATTATTTATTGTACTTATTGAATAATGTGTAGTAGTTATTTAATAATTCATAGTTGTTGTTGAATAATTCATTTTAGTTATTGAATAATTCATAGTAGTTATTGAATAATCTGCAGTAGTTACTGAATAATTCCTAGTAGTTACTGAATAATTTGCAGTAGTTACTGAGTAATTTATAGTTGCTAAAATCACTGTGTAATTTAGTCATTACAAAGTAATTACTGAGAAGTTACTAAATAATTACTGTGTAATTTATAGTAGTTACTAAATAATTACTAAATTTATAGTAGTTACTGAATAATTTGTAGTAGTCACTGAACTATTCATTTATAAGAGTCACTATATTATTTATACTTGTTGCTCAAAAATGTATACATTTCTAAATAATTAATAGTGGTAACTGAATAATCTATAGTACGTTACACATTATTAATACTAGTTACTAGTAGTAGTAGTCACTGAATTATTCATGATAGTCACTGAATGATAAATTTTTCATATTTTTGTTACTTAAAAGATACAGAATGAAAATGTACTCTTTACTCTTCACTTCTATTATTCAGTTAATAACTGTGTAATTAGCATGTAGTCTAGCTGTGTGATGTGTGAATAGGACTGTGTGTAGTTTTGCTGTGTTACACATTCAGGTACAGAGCTGTTTATCTGCCTGTGATGTGTCTGGATGTGCGTGAGGGGGTATAAAGGTTAGGGGCAGAGGGTCAGTGGTCAGAATCAGGCCGTGAACATTACTCTTACTGATGTGGCACCGATGTGTGAAGAGCTGAACTGATGCTCTGATGTGAACAGACTGCCTCTGTCTCCATTTGATTTAGTGACCGATCCTCATCCTCCCCGTTACACCAGCACGCCAGGCACTGTGATCAGTCTTGACCCTGTCCACTCTCTCTACTGACCACTCAGGGACATGGTGCTCTGTCATCCTACCCCAAACGCGCACACACACACACTCTTCATCATTGATACACAACAAAAATCCACAGATGGACAGTCCTGTTCATAGTTAGTTATCTAATGAATTATATTTAGATTGATTTACATTCTGTATCAACAGCTACAATAACTGAATAATGTACTTTAACCATTAGCTGTTTGATGAGAGACAGCAAAAGCAAGCAAATATGCTATTTTTATTTATATATTTATTCATTTTTCTGATTCATTGAAGGTCAGGTTTGTATTGGGAGCCATTAAAGGGCCCATATCAAAGAATTTTTTCTCACTTAAATGACATGAAGTTCCCAAATTTCTTTCACTCCTCAGACCTTACAGTTCACATAAGGAAACTGAGCTACAAAACAGCCTGTTTTTAGTTCATTGTGGTTGTGATGTCACAAAAAACAACACATTTACATACATTTGTTGGTTCAGACTACAGCAGTTTAGCCCCGCCCATTCCTGCTGAAGTTATAAGGAGTGTTTCAGCCTGCACTGCTGTTTAAATGAGGCAAAATACAGCACAGCCAATCACAACACTGTGACAAAAACAGCCATTCACACTTTATGCACCATAAACACTTTATAAACTTTTGTGTACGTTATTGAGAATAAATGAATGACCTACATTCAAATATTGTAAGTGTATAACTTTTTATTCCTGCAGGTTCTTGTTAGCATCAAGTGACTTTTAAAAAGGCTAAGCTATTTTTTTACTTGCATCAAAATTCAATATTTTGACTGCAAAAGAATCCAAACAACAATTCAATTTATCTGCATGTAGTTGTTAGGTTGAAAATAATTTAAAATATTCTGTGATTTTGACTTCTAAAAACCTATGAAAAGATCTTTACTTGACCTGTTTAGCACTTTTTAGCCTCTAATTAGTGACAACTAAAACTTGACATCTTGAAGTGACTTATTAAACTCTTTTTGGCTCTAAAGTAATAAACTCCAGAACCTATAGAACCTAAAGAAATCAAAGGCTGCCAATTATACACAAACATGAACCTGTATGATAAATTGTGAATGTACATTTGTATGCTAATTTATTCTCATTTGCATCACAGTGTCAAAACAAAGCAGTTTATTAAAGCAGTAAGCCACTTGAGGCCGTGTGTTACTGCGATTTTATCATGGGGAAGGTGTTTTTAGGCACGACACGAATCATAGTAATGCACAGCCTCAAGTGGCTTATTGCTTTTATAAAACGGCAGCCAACAAAAAATATGATAAAATGCGCAGTTTATGAGAAAAGAATTTATTAAAAATAATCGACATAAACAAGTATTCTGCCAAAAAATGTAGTTCCTTTCGAGTATGATAATGTTGCCAAGCAACCATGGACTGCTGAATAAGCAGAAGAACGTTTGCCCATCGCTGTAAACACAGTCATTTCATGATTTTTATTTTTTTTTAGATTTTTGTCATATAACAATGATCATATGATAACACAGCACTGTTTAATACAAAAACCTTTGCTTTATAAGTACTTTTTGGTCACCGAATTACCACCTCAGGTCTTATTTAGCACCAATCCAGCGGCGCCCCTCTTCTCACGCTGGGACTGAATCTCAAATGGCTTCCTGCTCCCTACATAGTGCACTACGTAGGAATTTAAATACTGGATCCTGCAGCCCAACAGTGCAAAATACAGCTAAGAAACAGTCGTTTGGGATTCAGACACATCCACACTTGATAAATGATGCACTATTTGACTGTAGGCTAGAATTTCTAAACCTTCATAGCTAGAACACTATTTAGGGAGTACAGAGTCGTTTGTGATTCAGCCTGGATTTGACACTAGTTCTGATTTTGAAGCATGTAAGACATTCAAGTGACATTTTACAGACTTATATACTGCTGTTTTGCAGTGAATCATACCTTAAGTACTTTAATTCAAGCCTGTGATATTAATGATGGAGTTGTTTAGGCTGTTAGCTATCTCTTAGCCTGTTAGCTAGCTGACCAGCCTAGTTCTAGTTAAGAACGTAAGTCGTCAGCCCCTCAGTTTAAACAAAAAACAGGTTCTTACTTCATCAGTAGACTCAGTGGTCCAAGCGAGCAGCATTATAGTCAAAGATTATTCCATTAACAGCACAAGGGTTTTTCTGTGCTGTGTCGCAGTGATACAGAGTACCATTCAGAAGCATCTACTTTTCTTTAGCACAGAATAAGACTTAACAAGCTTTAAAAATGTGGAATGTTTTTGGTACAAAAAACTTAATAAATGTAGTAAGTGATTATATCAGGGTGAAAGAATAAAATACCAAACCAAATGTAGGATATGGGCCTGTTTTTGCACCGAGGCTTATATGATTGTAGTTGCGCCACAGTTACTTATGTTACATAAAGTCCGTCTGAGCTACCTGATGCACACAGTAGATCAGAATCCTGTCTTAATTTAGTTCCCTAAAAAAGTTACAGCGTGTCTCTGATTGTGATGGTAATATTTCCCCTGTTTAATGGGCTGGATGTGACAGCTCTCTCTGTGGAGTGAGTAATGGATTGCGGTCTTGTATAAGCTGGCAGTGCAGATCCTCCATGTTCTATTTATACACATCACTTTATAGCGGGCTAACACAAAGGTCCGCCTCACCCACTCACTCACATCTCTGCAGATAAAGAGCTAGCACACAGCCAGGTGCTGAATATTCATCTGCAGCATGTGTGTGTGTGTATGAGAGAGAGTGTGTAAGAGAGACAGCAAGACACACTAATTCAGTCATTGCTGTTATCTCCCACTTCTTTAGTCACTGTCAGTGGTGCTTCTACCCCAGTGCCACAGAGAATTTCAGAGTGTTTCACTTCTCAGATCAGCACAGCACTGTCTTTCACATTAACATCCCAAGTTACGTTGTTGCTGAGGCATTTAAAGAACCCGTGTCCTACATTTGGTCCCTACTTATGGTGTTTCTGTGACTTATGTACAACCCCATTTCCAAAAAAGTTGGGACGCTCTGCAGAATTTAAATTAAAATAGAATGCAATGATATGCAAATCATATAAGCCATATTTTTAAAGGAAAATACTACAAAGACAACATATCAGTTGTTGAAACTGAGAAATTTGATTGTTTTTTGAAAAAACAAAATGCCCATTTTGAATTTGATGCCAACAACGCGTTCCAAAAAAGTTGGGACGGGGACATTTTTACTACTGTGTTTCATCACCTCTTCTTTTAATAACACTCTGTAAGCGTTTGGGAACTGAGGAGACGCTGCTGTAGTATTGAAAGTGAAATGTTTTCCATTCTTGTTTGATATAGGATTTCAGCTGCTCATCAGCTCACTCCTTTGTCATATTTTTCATTTCATAATGGACCAAATGTTTTCAGTGGTAACAGATCTGGACTGCAGGCAGGTCAGTTTAGCACCCAGACTCTTTTAATATGGGGCAATGTTGTTGTAATACATGCGGAATGTGGTTTTACATTGTCTGGCTGAAATAATCAAGGCCTTCCCTGAAAAAGACGTCATCTAGATGGCAGCATATGATGCCAAAACATGTATATATCATTCAGCGTTAATGGGGCCTTCACAGATATTGACTAGAGTGTGAATGGTATGTTTTAAAACTTGTTTACAATTCGTATTTTAAAAAGGAAGAAAAATGCAGTTTTCCGTGATATGGGTCTCATAGCATTGACGTAATGAATATGGGTGCATTCCACATTTCACCACAGGAGTTTTAGGTTTGAAAATAGCCTTAGAATTTTATTTATGGCCAAAAAGATGGGTATTTAATATGAGGTATATTGCATTGTATAGTATAGATTTGTTTGTATTTACATTTACATCATTCTGTTCTAACATTTGGATCAATGCATTTGAATCACCACCTTCAGAAAGATGAATCACAAAGCACTGATGTATTTTCACAGCCGTAATAATTGTGTGTGTGTGTGTGTGTGTTGTGCTTGAGCAGAACTATGGGCTGGAGACAGAGAATCTGAAGACCCTCTCCCACAAGCTCAACGCCTCCGCCAAGAACCTGCAGAACTTCATCACCGGCCGCCGGCGCAGCGGACACTACGACGGACGCACCACCCGCAAACTGCCCAACGATTTCCTCACCTCTGTAGTGGACCTGATCGCTGCCGCTAAGAGCCTGCTGGCCTGGCTGGATAGGTTAGTCTTGCAAAGAGCTACACACACAAAACCCCTTTCACTGAGTCACCGACTCACCAGCTCATCATCTCCTGTAGGATTACAGCACATTCATACTGTCTCCATAAGAACTGAGGTTAAAAAGTTTCTTTTATTATATATTTATACTGTATGTACACAGTACTCTGCAAAAGTTTTAGCCATCAAATTATATTTGAAAGATGTTTTATTGGAGACCAAACATTTATTTGCGTAGAAAAACACTAATATTAGAATACAAATAATATTAAGACAATGAACTTGCATGTTTGTTGATAAGTTAGCATATCCTCTACAGAGAACACAGTCCTGCACATTTTAATTCACAGTTACTTTTTATTTGTTGAATTAAACAAATTAGGAAAAAAAAGTATAGCATAAAATGCGGCCTGGGCAAAAGTTATGACAGTTTTTTTTTAATAATACTGACTTTTACTTATGTCTTGTTATTAAAACCAACAGCATGTATTTTCCAAACCTCTGATTTTGGTATCCCGTTATTAATTGTAGATATAATCCAATACCTGGTTTGAGTGATCAATACTTCATTAAATTAAATCAAGTGTGCTGATGATGGATTTGAACAAATCAATGAAACGTCTGTGAGCGTTGAGGCGAAGTCTGGGACTAAACCTTTGTTCTTCCACCCAACTCCCAGCCTCTCAACTACTTTTTAAAAAAGAAACTCTTGTCATGTTTAGTGTTCTGATGAATTTTATCGATGTTTATCGATACTTGTTTAAACAATTTGCTTATGTGCAACATATATATCTCGCAGCTGACGGAGCAAAACCTCGTATCTCCAAAATGATAACTTTACAGGAGAAGGGAAAAACTTGCTTTACTTTCAATGTAGGTCAGTGGAACCAGACGTCATTTTAGAAGTCATTTTGGGCCGTTTCTTGCGGTCCATTTCTCATGATATCTACACACAATGTAAAGGACAACAGGCAATTCAAATTATGCCAAAAATTGAAAAACGACATAATAGAGATACGAGGTTTTTCTCCGACAGCAGTGTGTGTGTGTGTGTGTGTGTCTGTGTAATAATAAAATAAAATAAATAATAATAAAATAAACTTTTTATGAAAAAATTATTATTTTTTCATTAAAATACAAAAACAGGTTTACTCAATTGCAGAAAATATGTGTGTCAGTAGTGACAATTCTTGTGGCCATAAAGAACAGGGATGCACCCTCACTTCCTGCTCTGAAATGCAGGGGTGTGGCTAAAATAAGGCTCTGCCCATGGACTAAAACGCTGTGTTTCAGTAGTAACATAATTTTATTCTTTTTTTATTTAAAAAAGTCGTGATAAAAAAATCATGCCAATCCAAATCTTTTGATTCACTTCAAAGCAAAAAGATCTTTTTTTTTTTTTTAAAGTGTAATTTTAGGGTAAATTTAGGGTTTAGAGTTTGGGAGAAACACCACCTGATAGAAAGTACCCTAAAAATTATGTTTTAGTATAATTTTAGCTTAATGCTATCTCTGTTTAAATACATCGTAACATAATCTATGAATTCTTTTTTTAAATGTTTTATTTACTGTGGCGCATATATATATATATATATATATATATATATATATATCTCCAAAATGGTAACTTGGTAACCAAAGAATTTCTAACCATCCCTTCATTGTGAAATGCAATGCAAACTGATGTTTTCAAATTCTGTAATAACATTCAAAAAATAAAGAATAAAGTAAAATAAACACCAAATAGTATTTTAAGGTGTTTTATTCAATATTTTAATTATCATAGGAGCAACAAGAAGTTAGTAAATAATAAATAATGCACTGTAATTATCTATTTACAGTCATTTCTTCATCTATTTTCAGCCTCAATGTTTGATCACTACCTTTAAAATACAAAACTTTCTGGATATAATTATTATAACCCCTTTCCCACTGTTTTCTGAGCTTTCTGTTATTTTAGAATCTTCTACAGCTCTGTTTATCATTCTGACACATTTCTTCACTTTTTTTTCAGCTTCCTACTCATTATTGCATTGCTATATTAGTCATTAGTGATGTGAGAAAGAATGATACAGAATAATGCAGTGATATTTTGGAGGAAAATGTAGTACTGGTATGCTGAGGAGCGCAAATCTATATTTCATTGTTTAGTTATTTATTTGGTGGCACTGCTCTGTCTGATCCACTCGTACCAGTGCAACACACACTAACACACCACCACCACGTCAGTGTTACTGCAGTGCTGAGAATGATCCACCACCACAAATAGTACCTGCTCTGTGGTCGTCCATGGGGGTCCTGACCACTGAAGAACAGGGTAAAAGGGGGCTAACAAAGTATGCAGAGAAACAGATGGACTACAGTCTATAACTGTAGAACTACAAAGTGCACCTATATAGTAAGTGGAGCTGATAAAATGGACAATGAGTGTAGAAACAAGGAGGTGGTCATAATGTTATGCCTGATCGGTGTTAATAGTTGAACTAGTGAAAGTGTTAAATAACAGTAAAAGACATCACTGTAATTTTAGTTTTTTAACATCACTGAGAAAACATATTTTCATATTGCACAATTAGTCTGAGTAAGCTAAACTTTATTGACGCTTCAGGCTGTTTACCAGCATCGTCTCCATGTTAATCACTGCACATAACTATTCATAGCAAATGAGCGCTAGAAGTCTGTTGGAATAACTGAATATTGAATCAGGAAACGGCTTGGATCAATGTTTCCCATCCTCGATTTTGGCGTAACACACCTGGTTCAACTAATTAGGTGATTATCAGGCCTTTCACGAGCTAATGAGGTGAATTAGAGGCGGAAAAACAGTAAACCGGGCAGGGGCACTCCAGGGCCGAGGTTGGGAACCACCATCTTAGGTAATGGATTTGCATGGTGTGGTTGTGATCCTTATTAGTGAGACTGAAAAGCTCTTGACTCGTGGGATTGATCTGCATTGGTGTTCTCAATTCCATTACCTTCAGCCCATCTCCCCCCAGGTGACTTCATAATGAGCTAACATTGATTGGATTGTAATCATTAGAGTACCCTTGATTAACTTGGATGAGAATTTGATTGGAGGCTTTTTTCTTTTTTTTCTGCACCTGTTTTTAGACATGGAGCATGTTGAGGAGGATATTTCAGGTCAGATTCATGGCTCCAGGGTGTAAAATCTGCGTGGTCATCCTATTATCCAAAGTGACAGCATACGAATTCGAAATGCCAGACACATTTTGTGCTTCACCACAGGATTTATGCCAACGTATGTAGTAGCAAAGGTTGAGTCCGGGTCTTTTTGCATGATGCAGGGTGTGTTTACGGCGTTTCAATTACTGGCTGCGTGAACAAAACTATGTAGATTTGTCTTTATGTAACATACATGAACAATCAGGCACAGAGATGGGTGAGAAACACTTACATAACCCAGGGTAGCTCTCTCTCTCTCTCTCTCTCTCTCTCTCTCTCTCTCTCTCTCTCTCTCATTATAATTCGCTGTTTCTTTCATGGCTTGCTGCTCGATCTGTCTGCTTGTCATGTTTACTTGTAGTGCGAAAGCATGTCTTTATTCACAAAGCTTTCTGAAACTTTTGAAATTAATATCAAGAAACTTTAGTTAATTGGTATAGACCTAAACTTGCATCCACTGAAAGGTTCTTTAAGGTTCTGTTAAGGCATCATGCCAAAGAAAACCTCTTTTAGCACCTTTGTTATGGAAGGTTTAGGTAAATATAATAAAAATGCAACTATTAAAAGCAACAACAAAATGAGTTCAAACATTCGAAAGGTAAAATAGAACAACAACTAAAATAAGGTAAAAATAAAGTGAAAAGAAAACGTGCTGGCGAAATGCTAAAGTAGTTTTAACCTAACTTATGCTAGATAAGTAGTTAATAACTTATGCTAAATACCTAAAATAAGTAATTACTTATTTAGGACATGTTATTTATTTAGCATATCGCTGTTGTTGGAAGAAAACCTTGTGTCTCTAAAATGGTAACTTTACAGGACAAGGAAAAAACCTACTTTACTTTTAATGTAAGTCAGTGGAACCAAACGTCTTTACAAGTCTTTTTTTTCGCTGTTTCTTTTCATCCACTCTTCATGAAATTTACACACAATGTAAAGAGAATTAAGCATTTTCAAATTATGTCAAAAACTGGAAAACGTCAAAAATGGAGAAGCTTTTCTTCCAACAACAGCGATGTGTTACGTAACATAATGAATTATTAGTAGGCATTAACTACTAATTTAGCACAAGTTATTAACTACTTTATGCTAACCAACAAAAAAACAGACTTTTTGTCGTTTTTGAGCAGTAATAGAGGAAGCCTGACAAACACATATTACTGAGTGCTACTGAAGAGTGCTGCTCTCCAGCAGATCACCCAGTGTGCAAGCCTGTACCGTGGCTAACAGAGAAGGACAGATAAGGAGAAAGGGCAAAGCATAAAAGGCAGAGTAATTGTGGGGTTTCTCCTGCTGGCCTTTCAGCAGGTGTGAAGTGAAAAGCCTTCAGTCTGGATCTCCCACTGGGGACGAATCTCCATGATGTTGGCTAAAAGTGAGAGATAGGAAGGAACATGATGCTAGTGAGATTAGGAGAGTAGCTGTGTTATATCTATAGCTTGAATTATTTGTCTGATCCCTCCAGGACCTGACTGCTCACGGCTGTTTGGTCAGGTTTGGACGTCTCTTTCGATCAGATTTGGAAAGAATTTTGTCAGACTGTAATCAGATTTGGAAAGAGTTTTGTCAGGTTACAGTCAGATTTGGACAGAATTTTGTCAGGCTATAATCAGATTTGGACAGAATTTTGTTGGGCTATAGTCAAATTTGTAAAGAATTTTGTCAGGCTATAGTCAGATTTGGACAGAATTTTGTCAGGTTATAATCAGATTTTGGCAGAATTTTGTCAGGCTACAGTCAGATTTGGACAGAATTTTGTCAGGCTATAATCAGATTTGGGCAGAATTTTGTCAGGCTACAGTCACATTTGTAAAGAATTT